CTATGGAGTGTCTTAAATATTTCATTTTTTTCATCTTTGAATTTCCTATTTGTACTTAAAATAATATATATATATATATATATATATATATATATATTTGTAAAGAAAAATGACGAGTCTATGGAATCGACTAAACTTGTACTCTAATACGACGTTGTAATGCCCCAACCCGTAGAGGTCGAAACGTCACTTGAACAATTGTACCTTAGTTTTGACTTAATATTAATATAACGATTTAGTTTAATTAACTATACCCTTTTTTGTGGAATACATAATGATTTACTATAAAATTTACTTAAGTATTATATATGTATATATTTAATTTTAACAGCACAACACAATTTAATATTTAAAAAGGAAACAAATTCAAAAAGGTCTTTCGAGTGATTTTCATGTACCATTGACATTAACCTTTTAGGCAGAAAATATAAATATGCCATTTTACTTTTCTTTCTCCAACGAAAAAAGTTAAAATAAATTCGTTTACATAGTTATCAATCTCAAAACTTCACAAGATTTTAAGGGAAGATAGCAAACTTCTTTTATTATGACATATCCAAAAATCGGCTTCCGCCAGCAACATATGAGATGTTAATAAATTTTTCAAAACCCCACTAACAATAACTAAAATAAAGCTGTTCTTTTTTCTTTTTTTTTTTCCTCGTATGGCAAGTGCTAAAATAAGTTCATTTGTATAGTTATTGACTCTGAAACTTCGTGAAATTTTAATGTGAAGTAGCAAACTCCTAATGATAAGATATATCCAAAAATTGACTTCTGTCGACAATATATGAGTTATTAAAATATTTTTTTCAAAACCTCGCAGCGACTCGGTTGGAAAGTAAACCAGTGCAATTCACCTAAAATAACATATAAAATTCCACAGACAACAGAATAACATGATTTCAGCTTTATTCAGTAGCTAATCTATGAGACTATGAAATCCCATTCATTTCATCCAAAAATTCCAAGTAATGATTGAATAATGAATTTTTGAAACTAAGGGCAGAAGCTGAAAGTAGAAACACCATCCAGTGCAGTTTACTTTAAGTGACATATAAAATTCTACCGATATCAGATTGACATAATTCCAAGTTTATTCAATAACTAACCTATGAAGCTATCAAATGCAGCTAGTTATGTCAAAAAATTTCAGGTAACGTTTGAGTTACAAATTTTTAAGTCAAGACAAAAGCTGAAATTTTAAATAAACATCAACGTTTCACATACAATGTCCATATAAATCTATTTAAAAGAAAACGTATACATTTCATAATCGAATTAAAGATATTAAATCATCGACTTTTCTGTGGCATGTTACATCTCCATTTACCATCATCCATGCCTCCAAGAAAATCAAATCAACCTGTGCGAAGGGAATTAATCCATTAGTTTGAAACTCAATAGATATCATCAGTGCATTTTGTTATCAAATTAGATAATTCGGACTGTAGATTCAAACCGTCGCACGTAGATGAATTTTTGGCAAAATCCAATTTCTATAATATTATCATAACACGTAGAGTCAGAGAATGATCATTCAAATTATATTAGTGCCAAAACACCGTACCCAAAGATACTATTTCATTCAAACTTTTAACTAAAAATTATAATTTGAAAACGAACACTTGCACCTCTACCTACCGTGATTTTTCTTGGATATAAAAGAACAAAATATGTAAAAAGTCTTTCTTCTTCCCATATTTGCTATTCTTTTAAGTTTAACTTGACATGAAATATATTCTTTTTCTTATAACATTCCATTTTAATGAAAAACTAAATGTGAGAGTTGTATTATCATTAAATTTGTTAAATTAAGTCTTTAACTAAGAATTTAAAGAGTTTTTAAGTCATAAGAAATTAATTCATATAAAAATTTTTATAAAACATTTACGTAATGAAAATAAAGGAAAATGAACCATTTATATGTTTTGTAACTTATCTTTATCAATGCCCAATAATAAAATAATTATTTCATCGAATTAACTTGATATAATTGTTCTTAATGTGTATGAGTTTTTAACTAAAAAATAATTTTTTAAAAATATTTTATAAAAACATCTACATGATAATTCGAACATGGGTTGCCTATGTGAATATTCCATGTAGATGACCGTTGTGGCAACCCAATTATTAAATTAATCTTTGTAATCAAATTTATTTAAACTTAATCTCTTAAATTGTTGAAATTTTAATTAACTTATGGTTTGGGCTTTTATAATTTTAAATGGGCTGAGCTTCCATAGTTCGTTTCTTAAATAGGCTACATTAACCAATTTAAGAATAAATATTCGGGACCTTACATACCAGTAGTTGGAATGCTGAACAAGAATTACTCAAACAATATTTCTTTTAAAAAATCAAGAATTGAATATCATTGCTAGTTGTTCACAAGTATATTAAAATAAAATAAAGAAATTGGAATTTATCCATATTCGATAATCAATTCTTAATTTGGATCTGAATCACGAACTTTTAATTTTTTAAACCACAATCTTTTAGCTTTTATCGAGAACTTGAGACTTCAAATTTCCAAGTTTAGAAAGTATTATCCGAAGCCAAGATTGCATTGTGTGTGTTTACCTTCTTTCAATTCAACAAAAAAACTAAATTCCATACTAAAAGAATTAAGTAAGATTTAAGAAACCATTTTTTTTTTTAAATTCTCTCTTCCTAAAACGTTATTCACTTTTCATATGGAGAAAATTAGCCCCTATGTGCCTAAATACAGGCACAAAAGTCTTGTCATACTCCATGTCAAATTAGGCCTCAGTTTGGTAAAATTTCACATGTAGTCCCTAAATTTAATTACATTTACAATCAAGTCCAAATTTTTTCTATTAATTGCAATTGAGTCCAAAACTTTTTGGAGCTATCATAGGGATTGATCCAGTATTCTGTCTCTCTCTCTCTCTCTGTCTCTCTCTCTCAGTAAATATGATCACAGAAGCTAATATATATTTGTAATACTTTTTTTCAACTTGTCATATGTAATTTATCCCCCATTCGATATTCGATAGCTGGGTACAAAACAAATTATAGTTTTGACCATTTAATTATTCACACTAACTTAAGTATCATTTTCTTCAATTGTCATGTGAACTAATTATCGATGTCAAAGTTTGTTCTTTGCCAAACACTAAGTTCAAATTTCTAATCATTCAACAAAAAAGGTAATCCCCCACTCTACCCATTTTTTAAGACAATGGTTTCAATACAAATTTGTATTTTCTATTTTGCTCATTCTCAATATCCTAACACATTGATACATTTGATCAACTAAATGACTTTCGTATAGATAATTAGTTACATTTTTTTTTTAGTTAATTTAAAGAATTTTGTAAAAGATATTTTTTGATCAAGTTAAAAGGTTAAAATTTTAGAGAAAAAAATGTACATGATGGGAATTCACGTAGCAATAGTAGCTATAAAACCCACAAGAGATTGAATTGAACCCAAAAAAGCTAATAAATTAAAGTTTTGAATTTGATTCAGAAATATTGAACCAAGTAACCAACACAATTACCGACAATAGGTTGATCCATTGATTACAAGACTCATGAATCTCATCCGGATTGTTTGAACACTGCAAGAAGTAATTCTTGAAAAGTTCGAAGTTAGCTCAATGAAGAACAATGAATTAAAAGCAAATATGCTCTCAATTAATTTCTCAATTGATACGAATGAATATTATTTACAATGTACAATAATGAGTCATACATATAGGAAACCCATAAATCCCTAGTTTAAATGGAAAAAACTTTAGAAGATTGCAAAGTTACCATAAAAATAGAGTTTTAACAAATATAAAAGATCTCGAGAAATTGGAAATTTCTCATCATTGTTTTACTCTATGTGGCCGAATAGTGTAACTCTATACTATCGCATAGATGGCTCAATTTTTTCCCAGCTGGAGTTCTGCCTTGGCACATGCAATCGCATGCATGAACAAGCTATTCAACCAACCTCTTCATCCATTATTTATATCACATTGATCCACTTCGAATCTTCTTTCTAGTCCAACAAGAAATCCGTTCCTTTATTCGTCAAGATCAATGTTTCGTCCATTGTAGTCTGAACAAGTAATCTCATTGCTTCTTTGACCTGCTTTGCTAGTGACCAAGTCATCGGCCCTTCTTTGACAATCAATGGATCCTTGTTCGGACTTGTATTCATTGCCTTCGTTCCATGGATTACATCAATACAAGAAACTAATATAATACCTTTATTTTTATGTGTGGTTTTTAGTAAAATGAAAAGGGAGCATTCTTTTCGATTTCGCATATGATTTCCAAAATTTTAAAATCGATCCTATCTGAAAAGTCATAATTAACCACCAATGCGTTCGGTGGCAATATTTGGTTAATTAAGCAGTGACACAAATTCCGAGACGTTTTCACGCACACGAATGTCCACAAATGAACTTCAGTTAAAAGGCCATCAACGTATGTCTGTAGCATCCCGCACTAAGAAGGCCATTAGACTAAAAGTTTCATAAATCAAAAACTATAGAACGGTACAGTCCTCAAAATTTCACGACGGGAATCGAAAAGAAAATTTTGAACATTGCTACTTTTGAAAGAAAAAAGTTAGCATTAGTCATTTGAGGATTTATTAAATGTCAAGTTTATCTTAAAAAACAATCTTTTCAATTAACATGTTATTTTTATTCTATACTAACCTACTTTAGAATAATTACAATGCTTTACTCGATTAAAACGACCTTAAACTTGTTATATTGTAATCGAGTCAAGTTGATACGAACTCCTCTTCTTGTTTGCATTCTACTTTTGTATACACGTGAAATCTCTTAAAAATCATTCAATGAATCATTTCGCTCTTTTTTCTTTAAATAGTTGTTATTTATTAATACATATAGACATTAAACACGTGTGATTTGAGCCACGAATACAATCATATCTAAGTTACAAAAACCTTATTATGACTTATCAAAGATTGACCAAAAAAGAAGGTTAGTTAGAAGAAAATTTCAAATAGTTATTAAAATCGCAATCCACAGTAGATTTTTCCCCCCTTGCGAGCCAAGATTATTCCCTTTGTTGTTCTACTTGGATCTATTTGGTTTTATTTTTATTTGTATATATTGATGATTCTTTCTACTTGAATCCCTTTAATTTTTTATTTTTATTTTTATTATTGTTATTTTAATTTTGACGGTGAATACTGCAATACAAAGGAGAATATAAGAGAGAAACGTAAAGAGATGAATAAAGAAAATGATCATAAACTGCAATAATCATAGTGATTGTTCTGATGAGAAAATGCAGAGAAGTCAAGATTACATCCAAGCTTTAGAAGAAGAACGTCGCAAGATTCAAGTTTTTCACCGTGAACTACCCATTTGTCTTGAGCTTGTCACTCAAGGTATAACCCTAATGTTTATATAGGCACGTGCGTATATAAACACACGCACAACTACTAGGTTATAGAGATACCCTTTTTTAGATTTTGTCTCTTTTTCTTATGTACTTATGCTGGATTCATTTTTATTTTTATTTATTTATTTTTTTATGGCTTCATGCTTGTGAGATTTTGGTGTTTTCAGCAATTGAGACACGAAAGCAACAGTTATCAGGAAAAACAACAGAGTATGATCATAATGTGATATCTGAATGTTCTGAGCAGACATCAAATGAAGGGCCAGTTCTGGAAGAGTTTATTCCTACAAAGAGAACCTTGTCCACTACCGTTGATGACAAACAAGAATTGAAGAGGTCAAAGAATAATACTAATGTTACTTATAATGATAATGTTTCAAAGAAATCGGACTGGCTTAGATCCGTCAAGTTATGGAATCGAACCACAGATCCACCCTCCAAAGAGGTAATTTTGGTATAATAATCTCGTGGAAAAGTTTATACAGATAAATAAAAGGCATATTTATTTATTTAAATTTAGTCTTCTGTTAATTTGATGTCTTATTTTTTCAATTTTGGGGTTCAGGATTCACTGAGAAACATGTCAGTGTTGGAGGTTAATAGAATTAGAAGCGGTGGTGCATTTCATCCATTTCAGAAAGAGAAAAGTAGTGTAACTACTCCACAAAGGCCAATCGGAATGTCAGCGCAGGTGGCTGCCTCCAGTTCTGTGGAGGAGACAAGTAGCGGTGGTGGTGGTGGTGGAAATTACAAGGATGAGAAGGAAGGACAATTTCAAAGAAAACCTAGGAGGAGTTGGTCACCTGAGCTACATAGAAAATTCTTGCAAGCTCTTCAAAGACTTGGTGGTCCACAAGGTATAATTTATTATCAAATGAACCTTGACTAAGATAGATGTGATTTAATTTTTGCATTGATTTTCTAATTCATCTGATTATACAGTTGCTACACCAAAACAAATTAGGGATTTGATGGAGGTTGATGGTCTAACTAATGATGAAGTAAAAAGTCACTTGCAGGTTTGTTTAATCAAAATATTTTCCTTGTGAAAATTCTTTAAAATTGAGGATGGCCTAAATTGGCTGTAGAAGTTTTTACTTAACGGGTGCTCCTGCCAAGTGAATATCACTTATTTTGGCGATTATGAGTGGTGGTGTACAATAGATTTACGCTCTAATGAAGATCTTTATGCTTTCATTGCAGAAATATAGATTACATAGGAGACGACCAGGTCATTTGATTCTCAATAACAGCAGACAAGCAGAACAGTTTGTGGTGGTGGGAGGAATCTGGGCGCCACCACCTGAATATGATGCTGCAATGGCTACAAAAACCACAGCCGCCACTTGTAATCAAATCTATGCGCCAATTGCTTCACGACCACCACCACCACCATTACAAAGGCAGCAATATAAGCAATTCCACTCTGATGATCGAGCCAGTCATACTGATGATAGAGCTCGCTCTCGGTCACCTGCTACCTCCTCCTCTACACATACAATCACCAATTCACCAGATTATTGATTTTTCTCCCTGCAGGTTTGATACACAGTATTAGATTGCACTAAAACTAAATATGATAAGAAAAAAGTATAGTTTCTATTTTTTCTTGGGAAATACTACTATCTAATTTACCTTACCAAATTATGGTGGGATCGGCTGCTTTAATCATTCGGTATAACAATTGAGGAAAATATAGAGTCAATTTTTAGACCTTATTTATCTTCCATATTTATCAAACTTCCTATACTATTTGTTTTGAAATTTATATTGGATGGTGGTGCAAAGGATATGAGTGAAATTGTCTCATATCTTACTGGCAGCCACGATGTGGGGGTTCGATTCCTGAAACATGGAATTGGACTCTTTGTAGGCGCAGTGTACATGTAGTTCTTGCTCTCTGACCTGTTGGTGCACATCCCGCGATTTACCTTCCTCACAAAGCTCTAAGAGCGGGATGATGGGGACCCTCAAGGTTGGGGTTCAACTTTTATATTGGAGGTTATTGGAGGAATGCATTTGAGAATGACAGTAATAGCTCATTAAATGTTGGTGGAACTTCCCAATTTGTCGGATATTACTATAATGAAATCAATATAAAGAATAAACCCCCCTTAAAATTGCAGCTTGCTAATTTGGTTATCTGTCAACTGGCTTCAGATTCTTTATTATTTCCTGTTAAAATCTTCTGCCCGAGTATTATATAAGGGTTTGCTTATTTCTTAATAGAAAATATTTTAATCTCGTCTAGTCAAAATTATGAACAAGGTAATGTTCCATGCATGCTCCTTGTTTTTGTGGTAATTAATATATATGTTTTGCACATTGTTGAATGGTGATATTTTGAACTACTGGAAATATAGTTTTATATATAAACTGAAATCCACATTTTTCTGATCAAACAAATAAATGGATAAGATTATAGTTAATATCAGTTAAATATGATGGTCAATGATTAGCTGATATTTTTCCTACTTATGGAATCTAATATTCATCCACCAAAAATTTCTGCTTAATTATAGACTCAACGTGGGAGAATTTTCTATTGTTTTACTGCCTAGATCCACTCTACGCGCATAATAATCTTGAGTTCTTAGTCATCTTCTCAGATACATACGCGTGTGTGTATATACATTTGTGTGTTTGTGTAAAAGATGAAAATATTACTTGATGAAATCCTACATTTTTACCACGATATCTTATCTTGGAGTTTTGGTTTATTTATTTTTTTCAAAATATTAATATTTATAATGTTAAAAGTTAATTAAGAAAAAGAGAGATGTATTTAGTCGTTCACAGTTAAATGTTTTATCACGGTTAAGATTTCCAAGAAGACTATTGAAATAAATATTTAACTGATCATACTTCTGCACCCTCTCTCTCTCTCTCTCTCTCTCTCATTATTTATTTATTATTATTATTATTTTTTTGGAAACGAAGGTGGGCTCATGACAACTCAAACTGTCATTGCAAAGATAAAATTTATTTTCTTGTAATAAAGTATATATTGTCTATTAATTTCTATATTACTTCTCTAGAGATGACAGTGGGATGGGGTTGGGGAGGCAGGGAGGGGACTTGCCCCATTTGTTATATATATACATTTTCAAAAATTTGAGTTAGGCGGGATAGGACTAGTTATTTTGCCATCTATACTTCTCTTACAATTGTTTGAATACAAAACCCTAGTTCTCTTATGTGTAGCAGTGGAAAATTCTATTTAATTCATTATATTTTATACATGTATTTAGGGTTGGCAATTGGGCTCGTTGGCTCGGGTAGCTCGTGGCTCGGCTCAGAAAAAGCTCGAGCCTGCCCGGCTAGAGGCTCGGAGGAATCGAGCCAAGGCTAGGGTCGAACCTCATTTTGGGGTGCCGGGCAAAGCCCGAGCCAACCCATGTGGCTCGGGCTTACAAGCCTATATTTAAATAAAAAAAATACAAAATAAAATGATAATTTAAACGCAGCGGCACGCTGCCTAAAGCCGGGCTTACAAGCCTATATTTATATAAAAAAAATACAAAAAAATAAAATAAAATTTAAAGGCAGCAGCACGCTGTCTTTTAGGTAGCGTGTTGCTGCCTATTTTTGGTAGTTGGTTGCTACCATGTTTGCCTTTAAAAAAAGGTAGCAGGTTGCTGCCAAACACCGCAGCTGCCATGTTTGTGTATATATATATAAATTTAACAAAACACCGAGTCTGCCCGACTCGGCTCGAAAAGACTCTAGCCGAAAACTCAGGTCGAGTCTTTTTTTTTAGCCGAGCTTTTACTTGGCCCAGCTTGGGCTCGAAAAAAGGCTAGATCATTTTATTCGAACCGAGCCCGAGCCTAAAATTTCGGTTCGCGAGCCGACTCGACTCAACTCATTGACATCCTTATATATATCTATGTGATGCAGCCATATATTGAAGAATATAACCACGAGCACCTAAACTATGCAGCATGACCATGACACACTAACCATGATTGACAAGAGGGTCAAAACAAAGAACAAATGATAAATGGTGCCATCCTCATCGAGTGAGATGGAGAGCACTATTGATAAGTGTATTTTATTTACTTATCTGGCTATTAAATTATGATATTTTGAATAACTGTTGATAAATTATAGCCTAATCTCGAGTATTTATCAATTGTTATCTAAACTCAGTGATTAAAGTGAAATTGGAAGAAATGAACAAAAAATATCTAACTATTAAATTATGATATTTTGTATTACTTTTGATAAATTATAGCCTAATCTCATGTATTTATCATTTGTTATCTAAACTCAGTGATTAAAGTGAAATTGGAAGAAATGAACAAAAAAGGCTAAAAAGAACGAAAATTCAAAGTTTCGGGACTAATTTGGAAATATCCAATAATTGATTTGATCCATAATATGACAATTAAAGATTACATAGGATAAATTTGATGCAATAAGAAGTCAGATGGGGAACTATAGTCAAAATATTTTCATAAATCAATTTTCAACCGCACAAACTATGCTCCTATTTTCAATATTAGATTGAGATCTATTTTTTACATAGTAAATATTCAAATTGAAAAAAAAAATGATATTTATAAATTAATTGTAACCCTTTGGATTAGCCTTCCAACTGAATTTGAATCGCCTCAATCGGATATCGCGAGAAGAAAATATAACAAAAATACAGAGAGTTGTTTCAGTTACGAAACCATGTGATTGCATGGTACAAATGCCATGCGATCACAAGGCTTCATTTTGACAATCCTGAGAGAAAATTCATTATACCATGTAAAGGCAAAGAAATGTATCATGCGATCGCTAGGTAAAAAATTTGACCAAACGGGTAGTTTCATTCTACGATCAAAACTCTATTTGAAAATCAATTTAGATGTGTTCTTGACCCAATTTTTAACGTAACAGTTTCTCTAGGCTCAAACTTGTTTGATGTTGATTATTTGAGTGAATTCCTTTTTAATTTTGTGTACATATTGCTTTTGGACAAAAATATCAACTTGTAGGTAAATTGAGCAAAATAAAGTGATTTGGAGTTCAATTTTGACAAAATGATGGAATTACACAAGTTCTAGAAAGTATTGGGACTCAATCGGATAAAATAGGAAGCTAACTGAAATATTTTATAAATTTTAGGGACCAAATTGAATACTTTGTAATGTTTGGAGGCCAAAATGGATGAACCTTAAAGTTGAGGACTTAAATGAATAAATTGAAAGTTGAAGGAAAAACTTGGACATGTTTACAAGTTAGAAGACCAAATTTGATGGGATGGATAGTTGGAGGATAGAAATTGATCAAGCAAAAAGCTTTGAGACCTATTGTGCAATTTTAAAGTTAAAAAGTTAAAAAAAAAAAATTTATAATAAAGCCAAGTGTTTAACATGTGGGCTGACATTTAGAGGAAGGCATGATTAGACCTTAATTTGAAGGGCCCAAATTAAGGAATTGGGGAGTAAGTATAGGATGAAGATTGTGTTATATGTACATAATAATTTACATATACATGATATGAAGAGATATGATTGGGTCATAATTTCTTTAAAAAATTTCACACCCTCTTTATGACACCTTATCTATATATAAATCATTATATAATTTCATTATGTACAAGTAGCATTATTCATATTATGAACACCATTTTCCATTTTATAGCCACAGTTAGGCTGAATTTTGGGACCTTTGGTCCCTATTGGCTGTGGTTTGTCACAAAAATGCTTGCTTAGTTTTGAATATTAAAAATCTTTGTCGCAAACTATTGAATAAAGAGAGCCCTTGTATTTTCCTTTTTATGTGTTCAGGAGTAGTTCACTAGATAATTTCACTCAAGATTAGTACAAATGTTAGGTTTGAATTGTTGATAAGTGTGTTTTACATGATTGTTAGGATTTTGAACTTGTTTAATGTCTATTATTTGAGTACATGTCGAACTAATTTTATTTATATATTCATTTTATAGGTAAAAACATTGATTTGGACGTGAATTGAGTAAAAATAAAGTGATTTGAAACTTAATTTGGACAAAACGATGGACTTGCATGAGTGGTGAAAAGTATTGGGATTCAATTGGAAGATTTCATAAACTTTATAGAGTAATTGATGCTAAAATAGGGAATCAGAATTGATGAACCTGACTCGAAGGACTAAAATAAAAGAAAATAAAAGTTAAGGGAACAAGTTGGCCATGCTAAAAAGTATAAGGACCAAAATTGACTGGATGGAAAGTTAGATGTCCAAAATTGATAAACCAAAAGGTCGAGGTACCTGCCTTGCAATTTTAGAGTTGAAAAGTAAAAGGTATGTAAATTCAAGTGCTTGACATGTTGATTGACATTCAAATGTGGCATGATTAGGCATCAATTTGAAACACGAATTAAGGAATTTGAGAGTAAGATTTCGTGCAAAACCCACAAGCGTACGAAATCGTTGACAAGTAATAGATAACATGAGTTCAGAGTTATCGTACCACGAAAAATAGTATTTAATTTCAATTTACTAGTTCTACCAAATTCAATACGTGGTAACATGAAAGAGTGTTAGATGATTTTATGTACCAGTTTTAACTAAGAAAACAATTAGAATGAGGTTCTTATCAAATATCTAACAAATTTATTAAATTTTAGAACACCTATTGATTTCTAGTTTCAATTCTCAACTTATGTAATTTAGCTTGGTTTGTATGTTTATGATAATTAATAATCTCTTAATATCTAATATTCTTTTCCAAGATATATTAACTTTAACTTTATACTTAACAT